TTTTTTCTAAAATACCATACTACAGTGCGGGCAAAAGACGAGTCGATTTCACGAAATCCGGGTTCGTTATTGAATACAGATGAGGTCATACGGTTTTTCTTTTTTTTCACATTTCTCACAGAATTGTCATTGTAACGTTTACGCGAGACGATAGAGCGCTTGTTAGCTATAAGGTAGTTGGTAGTGATAGCAGCGGTATTATTCGTATTGGAAGCAGAAATTGTATCGAGAACGGCCGGCGGTGACGGCAATGATGACGACGTGTTATCGGCGGTAGAGGTGGAGGGAGCGCTCATAACATACATAATATTATTATCCCCAGCAGCTGACTGCTTTAACGTGTGGTCTATTTTACAAAATATTTAGAGATAAAAAACTTAAGATTAATAAATTACCAGTATGGTTTGTTATAAATATTATTACCTGATACTAGAGTATTGACCGGAGTTACTGTAGCGATTTTTTTCCCCACAGCCCGATTAAAATCATTCCCATATCCAAACAGACATTATGAAAAATGTTTTATTTGAATATTAAACCGGGGAAATATATTATGTATTATTTTGTTTACCAACCATGTTTTTCTCGGACGTGTCTCACGAGGTTGTCTCTCCGTGTGAAGCTGATCAAGCAGATACCACACGACAATTCGACTCCATCATGTGTTTTGCTGTGTGTGTTTAAATTACTCTTGACGTTAAACACTTTGCCGCACGTAATACAATTAAACATATTGATATCAAATAGAGACGAGTATAATAATAAACTCGAGGAGAAAAAAAATCGTTTATATTTTATGTTTAAACATAATAATAATGTACTCGAGAGCTAACGTCAAACACATATGTTACGGACTCTGGAGACATTATGATATTTACCAGCTAAACGCCGGAGCGCGCGGTACTCGTGTAATATCATGATAAACAAATACATATGTGGTTCTTATTAAGCTGAGGATACACAGAACGTGATGTCTAAAAATGATAGACATTGACAATAAATTCACTATACATTACGCTTCTTTATACGAATCGGGTGCGAACTCTGCCTTATTAATGATATTAATAATAATAATAATATTAAGCGGATCCGATAAGGCGCCGACGTTTAGGAAGTGGAGAAGGGGGTGGGGGTAATGACGAGAAAGAGGGGAGTGGGGGGTAAGGCTAGATTAGGTTGGGTTTCGACGGCGGCGGCGCGGCGGGTATGTAGTAAGGCGGGGTATGTAGTGCGGGGTAAGGCGGAGGAGGTTTGGGAGGTTTTGCGGGGGCCCTAGAATCGACTATTTCATCCTACTTTCGTGGACTGTCAAATCTAGTAACTTACTTGTAAAACCTAGGTTTGCAATCATAGGATTTCAAACAGATCGAAAAAACAACTTGATTAACCCCTCAGGATTATTCGATCACTGTAGCCTGAAAAATCTTAAAGTTCATTTAAATTCTGAGGTTTGTCCGTTTGAAGATTTCCGTGTAGACTTTACGGATAAAATCACTTCTTTGTTGTACAAAGCGTATACTGATTTTCAAAAGTCGTACTACGATAGAGATAACTCTTTACCATTACTCTCGAGAAAAACATTTCAAGATTTTGTACCTATAGTCGTTGTAGATTTATCACGTCAAAATGATAATGTGAAATCGACGACAGTTGACTTACGCATAGAGTTCGAGACAACCGCAAACGTTCCGGCCAAGACTGCAGCATATTGCCTCATTTTACCTGATCAAGTTATAACTTATAATCCATTCAGTGGAGATGTTAGAAAATTGTAAACCTTGTATTTAACTTTTATAATTTTAGACCTTGTATTTTATCCTTATAATGTAAAAACTTATTCTAATAAATAAAAAAAACTTGTTTTTTTAAATATCGCGTATGTTTTTATTTCACTTATTAGCGTTCTACAAAAAATTAAAATAGTTGTCGCTTAACATTGCGTACTGGTGTTGGGTGTTCGGCAAATGTCGGTTGAGGAGGGGGTGACGTAATGAATAGAGACAGTTCCCTGAATTGATTGAAAAAATCTGACCCATCGTTCACGTCACACAACTGTGGGCTACGAATCTCGTCTGGTACCTGGGAGTCGTCAATATGATCCAGCGGCTGAAAATAATGAAATCAATATTTTTGTACATGTAATAATAATATATTTATGAATTACCTCTTGCGAGTCTTGCGCCATCCGATTTAGAATAGATTCTGATATTTGTTTAGCTGCACACATTTGTATTTGATCGGTTAAGTCTGGACAAGTTTCGACTATTTCGCTACTATAATGCGTGTTTTTATTAACAAACATTCTCATCTCATCGACATTTTTCGGTGGCTGTTTTTCGAGCGAACATTTCGCGTACAGAAAATTAACAATCGCATCATATTGTTTTAGAATTATCGGTATGGTGAATATTTCTTTCCGACTAATACTCTCAATAATACAACGCTCCAGATATTGAAGGCGAATAAGGTCCGCTCGATTCAGCAATACTCTATATCCTTGTTGTTTTTTTGCTTCTATCACCAACATATTTTCTTCGTTGTATACCATACTCGATAATTTAATCATTTCGTCTTCGAAAAATACCACTCGCTTATACCTTTGTGGAGTGTCAAGTATAAAGGATAAAATACTCCCCATAAACGAGAAAAATTTTTTTAAAAAATCTGGGGTAATATACACGTAACGCGACGAAGTTAACAAATGTACGATGACTTTAAATTTTTCTGTTGGGTCAACGCCGATTTGAACAAACTTACGAGCTGCAAAGTCGAGTGTGTAAGATGTAGATTGGATAAGTTCAGCCGGCGGTGATGGAGGCACATAAATGAAAGTCTTCTTCCTGTATAACGCTGCGCTAGAACCAGCCATGTTTTTTTGAAAATCGTGTAGTATAAATATAATAAACACTTTACAAATAATACTTTTAAATAAACTCTTTTTAAAATACTGAAAACGACTTTCTGCTAGAATGGATGCTCAGGTACTAACGATTTTGTTCGGCAATATTTAGTGAATAACATGGGTAGCGCTAGTGTAACATTTATTAAGAATCCGCGACATCCTGGCGACTAAAAGCAATTGTAATGTGCTATTCACTAATAGGCATTTTAATATATTTAACTATAGGAATGAATTATAAATGTATAAGCATAAGATCACATTTTATTATATTTTCTTAAGTATTGGTCGGCTAATATTCCTGGGATCGCCGCGTCGCTGGCGGTGGGGTAGGTAGCGGCGTCTGCAGTAGTGGTACGCGACCGAGCGACAGCGAAAGTGGTGGGGGTGAGGGTAGATCATTCACGTACACGATATGCATGGAGGGATGAAATATACATAGGTTACGTGGTCGATCAGTGGGAAGTAGGGAGTATGGAGTAGGGAGTAGGGAGTAGGGAGTAGGGAGTAGGTTTCAGAACCGCTATATTTATCTTACTCCTCGAGAAAAAAAATATAAGCTTAATGCAGTCGCATTACAAATGGGTCATGAAGTGGTAAAACTCCCAACTTACCACTGTCAGTACAACGCAATTGAGCTGATTTGGGCGCAAGTCAAGGGTGAAGCCGCAAAAAAAAACAGCACTTTCAAAATGACAGATGTTGAAGTGTTGGTAAATAATGCCTTAGATGAGATAACTAAAGAGGTTTGGACTAAGTGTGATGAACATTACAATAAACTCCAAGATGCAGATTTCATAAAGGAAGGGTTAAGGGATGAAATATTAGAGCCCATCATACTCACAATAAATCCTGATGACAGTTCGACTGATGAAGACGAAAACGACGATGATGAATTACCTTATTAATTTTTATTACAACACCGACTTTATAGCTATTTGTAAACATATATTTATTTTTATTATTATTTTTGACTTATTTAATTATAAAAAGTGTAAAAAAAAATATGTAATAATATAGTCTAATGTTTACTTTAATATGATATTTTTTTATTTTACATTATACTAGCCAACCCGTCACAGCTTCGCCCGTGATTGGTTGTTTATTTTGCCTTCGGACCATGATATGTAGAATTTTTTATTCAAATATTATTGTTTAATGTGATCGGCAAGTAAATATAAAAAAACGGTTAATGAAAACGGATTGAAATTTTTCTAGCGTTATAAATGATAAAAATAAATACAGATAAAAAAGAAATAATTTATGGTTGATAAAGAATTCGATTGAAGTTGATGAAGAAAAAAAAAAGAAAAAAAAAGAATTAAAATAAGAATTTTATAAGACTTCTGAGTATATGATGTTTTTTGTTAAAAAAAATCTAAAAAAAAAACTCTTGATAATTCATTACGCTTTCTGTAATAACATTAAAAGCATATTTTTGATCATTTACTAATTTTGGTAAACTGATTTCTACAAATTCTTGTAAGAACGCAAAATTGAGAATTTAAAATGATCAGATGCATTTTCATTTCGAACAGGTGAGTTCATTCCAAATTCAGTTAAATATTTTTCAGACAGACAAACAACTTTATCTTCTATTTCAATCAAACCTCTATTAAATATTTCATCAGAAAAAGGAAAAATTGCAAGTCATTTAATCGAGTGCGCTCTGTATGAAGAATATCTTCACAAAAATCATTTCTGAACTGATCCCACAAAAATTGAGGTTCAGACGGTTGGCAGAGAACTATGATTGTTGCGAATAATTCTCTTAATTTTGAAGGACTTTCTGAAAGAGTTTCCTCCGCTAGAACATTTTTCCATTGCTCGTCATTTTCTAAAAGCCCAAGAGCAAAACAGGTAGCTTTAAAAGTCACGTGAATGACTCCATCAAAGGCCTTCAAGCTTTCAAATTAAGTAGAACCTTGTATATAATTTAGTAACAATCTTAAATGGAAGCACTCACTTTGATTTGGGTGAATCGTGTAAATTCTACCAATGGCAGTGTCCATTTTTATTCCTGGCCAACCTGGAACATCTTTTCCCCGTCTTCTCTTTAACCAGCCTCTGCTATCATCCCAGGTATAATAAGAAGGAACTTCATGATAGAATAGTGTTTTCGCAAAATCATCATGTGAACACAGTTCAAAAAATGCAGTTAGTGTCATTTTTCTTGGATTTTCAATAACTTGATGAAGATTATTAGCATTAAAGAAAACACGCTGTCCATTATCTAGATGAACAGCCAAGTGCTAAACTGTCGGATCTCTATCATGGATTTCAAAATTGAAAATTCTCCAAAACGCTTCAGAAATACATAAGTATCGACCATTAAAATAATTTGTAATCTCATCGTTTTCACGATTAACAGAAAAAGTAGCTCTATCTGATCCTTTATTAATATATTTACATATGTATTTTATCGCTTTAACCGAATGACAGTATTCTACGTTAATATGCGCATTAAAGCACCTAGATAGCACTGGACAATACGGTACAACCCAACGGTTGTCAACCTCGATTTCTGTTTGACCACGAACTTTTAATATTGCAGTATAACCTCCATCATCTGGTGATCTCCGTCGGTAAGTCGGATAACCATCATCTCCAGTTTGAGTATCCTTGACCAATTTGTGAGGGTATTTCTTACTACATTTTCCATTATTCATACATGGCGATCTAATATTTAACTCACCGCATGGGCCATGAATCATATTCTTGCATACTATTTCATAAAGTATAGGACCTCTGTCTTTGTTTGGTGTGTCGGCAGAAATAATTTTATCAATTTCATCTGGCTGAATTTTCGTTTGTAACCACAAAAGAATGTGGCAGTGTGGCAAACCTCGTTTTTGCCATTCAACACTGTAAACATAACAATTTACATCTCCAAAAATATATTTATTTTTTAATACATGCATAAACTTTTTTAGTTTGAGATGAAAAACTCTAGAGATTATATCGTGTATATCAAACGACTTTTGGTCTTGAAATAAATCATTTTTTATTTCCGGCCATTCCGGGTTACATGTGAAAGTAATAAATAAATCTGGACGGCCAAATTTAAGAACATAAGTCATGGCATCCTGATTATTTTTATGCAGTAACGTGGGGAGCCAGTAAAAGAGGAGGGAAGAATTACTTGTTGCCCCACGTTATTAGCATTAATATTTGCATCATTGTTAACAGCATCTCGGAGGTGAACATAATCATCCGCTCGTAGTTGTTTTTGATGGTTACGAATAAAGTGTAGTCTTTCAGAAATCATTTTTGCCACCATATCTACGGCGAATTGGCTGAATAGTGTTTTGTAATAATGTAGATGATTTAGACTTGTTTCTCTAACCATAAACCTATAAGAATAAAATTGCATGCAGGAGACAGTTTTTGTTCGATTTTAGTTATTTTTCTGTAAAATATTAATGTGATAACCGTCTTCGCCTCTAGTATACATCAATGGATATTGCAGTGCATCATAAGATCTATTCAATTCGGAAACTCGACTCAAGTGTCCACTCCGACCGTGCAGAACTATATCTCAGGGACCTTTATCTTCATTAACTAATAATACAGCTACTTCATCGATGGTAGGTGCATTATATTGACCTCTGTGTTCATCTTGAGGAACTCTGTCAGCATGAATAATTAACTTAAAGTTTTGCAACTCATCAAAAGACCTCGACTCCAGATTAGATCTGAAGCTCTGTATGAGGTGATTATTTTCACACAAAACTGTTTGCAATGATTCAATGAGACCTCTTTTTAAATTTGGAATCATATTTGTTCGAATAGATATTTGATCCGACTCTGACATAAAATATATTTGTAAAAATTTAGCATTATTTCCAATTTCGGGTAATAAACTACCTATTAAATGATGCACTTGACCCTGAATTTTAAAAGAGGGCATGAAGTTCCTTTCAGCTATTTCGTTTGCTCCAAACGATGTCATTTGAACAGAAAGGTTGGAAAGTAGTAAGAGACTTATTATTGACTGAACGTCAAAACTATTAAAATGTTTTTAAATAAAAGTCTAATAAATCTTATAAAAATTATTATTATTGAAAAACAATTTCATTATCACATATCTTGCACGACCGTATCTACCCATATCAATATTTTCTTTTGGTTAAATGTTGTTTGAACAAACGCGAACGGTACGTCGTATGATTGACATATTATACACATCTTTTGTATTCAAATTTCCTACAATTTTTCTACTCATAAATATTGTGATAAAATCATTGTTATCGATCGGCCTATCACGACATTAAATATGTTCAATTTTCAAACTCTAACTTATATAATCCTGTGTCACTGTATCCATTATTAATGTCATGTTACAAGGTGATATTTTTTATTTTATTTTAAGATAGACGCATTAAATTAAAAACAAAAAATCCAAGTAATTTTATTTAACTAAAATTACAGCAGCCCACTGGGGCATACCCCGGTGGCCTAGTCCAACCCTGTTCGCAGCTAAATGCCGCTTTACTACCTACATATTATTATACAAAATTATTCATTTTCTAACACTATGTTAGATAAGCGAAAATTGAAAATTAAGATTTAAAAAAAAAATGATATATGTAGTAATAGCTATAACCAGCTGTTGGATACAGTCAGTTTGAATTTGGCGCGACGCAACTGGTACCCTCCGTGTCACAAAGTTTGCCGCACCGGAACGCTGCCGACACGCCGTTCAACCTTCGTACCTCCGAGGAGGGGACGGTTTTGTCGCGCAGCCGGGCCGTCGTCGTCAGTTTTCACCATCAGAGCTTTTGTCGTAATTCATCCGTCCCCGAAACTGGTTTACGATCCGGTTTTCCTTTCGCCGTAACACTGCCATTGTTTTTTCCATTGTGTGAACCTTTTAGTTCAGTCGAACTAATCGCCGTAATGCGCCGTACCGTATTCGCGATTCCTGGTTCTTTGACTCGCATGCCATCACAGATTATTGTCTCTGGTGC